AAAATAACAACATGAGCAGGAGGAATCCAGAACTTTTACTGCTTTTTGATCAGCCCATCCTTCTTCCTTTCCAACAGAGGGTTTTTAATGGTGGTATACTAGGAAAAGACCCCAAAGCAGTTTCCATTAGCAAGCAGAAGGCATATTTTCTTCCTAAGTGTTAATCAGAAGACTATTGCCAAGATCTAAGTAGTAGTGTGAAGATAGATTCTTTAAATGGCTGGAGTGCTGCTATGTAAAGTGTTCATTCCAGTAGTAAAACCTGCTCCCAGAGGAATGTTCAAGGTGCTAGCTGCCTCTGTCTTGCCTCTGAACATACATGTAGCTTTGCTTGTGAGAGTTCAGGAGCTTACAGCTGAACTGTGCAGATTACTTTAGGTGCCACCTATGGGGTAAACACAGGCAGAACAAAATTGATCCTTGTTTTTAAGTTGTGGTAGCTAATGCCATTTAAAATACTTCTGAGACCTGATTCAAATATATCCTGATGTTTTTATGTCTATAACTCTGGCATGGATTGACTGTAGGGTATCTCCATTCAGAATAAAATAACTTAGGCTGTACCTTTAGTGCATTCTGGTCTTTTCCCTCTAATAAGGGCAATTCTAGCTGGACTTGTCACTATCCCTGTATTAGCAAAATCTGCAATACAGCTACAATTTGTATCAGCGAAAGACTTTCTTCCACTGTAACTTTCCCAGCTTCTTAAATGAAATATAAAGTCTCCTTCTGCTGGTATAAAAATGTCAGTTAGGATTGTGATTCTTTGAAGTATTATATCAGGAAGGATTTATAGCAGAGACCAGGTCTTCTAAATCAAGTGTTTAGCTTGAATATGTAAGATAGGCACTGCTGAAAAACAGAGTAGATTGAAGGGAACAGTTGCTTTCTGCTTTGATGTTATAGTTAGGATGGAATTAACAACTGTATTTTCAGGAAAGGAGTCTGTTCTACAGGATTGTTTGACTGAAGTCGTATGTCAGGTTGAGGAACACAGTGTAGGGCAGAAAGAAGGAAGGCCTGTCTGAATTTTGAGAAGCATACCTCTTATTTAGAAAAAATAACTGGAAAATAGTCCTGTGATTTTTCTGTCCCCAATACAAATTGCCCTGTGATTTACTATAAAAACAGCTACATAACTTTCATTAAACATTTTATAAATTTGTGGTGGTATTTTACTTCTACTTAAATATGATGTTTTTTTCATAGATGGCCAAAATTTGATACCCTCTGTAATGTGAAATGATAGGTTACTCTGGTTCCATAAATGTTCCTTCTGGCTGGACTAGGGGATGCTGGTGATATCTGTGTCTAAAAAGAAAGGTCTGACACAAAGCTCTGTAATTTACAAGCTTTTATCTACTACAAGTCATGACAGACCTCTGGCTGGACACAGCAGTAAGTAACAGTCACAACCCTCAGGAACAGCTAGAAAAGAACTATACTGATATTTGGAACCTTGAAGTGTATTTTTAAACTGGCTTAGTGTTTTGAGTGTTTGACAAGTTCTAATATTTTTATCTTAGAACTTTTTATAGATAAACTAGGATGCATACTAGAAATGCAGCATTTTATCTGAGGCAACTCTGTTTCCTCTGCTAATTTTGCAGGCAGATGTTGGATAGCATATAAAGCATTTTGCTTCTGGAAAACATCTTGTTTAAAAAAATAAATAAGAAGAAACATCTTTACAAAAATAGATTTTTATTATTGCAATAATTTAAAGAAGAACTCTTTCGCTATTTCTGAACAAACAATATTGTAAGAGGAATTATCAGTAATAGATCTGCGGGAACAAGGATTGTCATGGCTGTGCTTCCTAGTGCAGGTGTTAGGTCCACTTCACTTTTCTTCATGTTTAAAAGCTATCTTAAAATGACAGCAGAAGTATACTTAAGTGTTTGAAGGAGGTAATTACTCAGTGAAGCTTCCAAAGATGAAAATTCAGAAGGAATAATTCTTCAATCTGTGTTTGCATTGAAAAGGTGAACTCCTACTTAAAGTTCACAGCACCACCCAAACAAAGGGAAGATGGTAAAGCACATAGGTGCCAGAAGTCAGAGCCTAGGACTCTGCTGTTCACTGGACTGGGCATTTTCTGTGTTCCAGGTTATCAATGGCAACACTTAAAAATACTCCCTAAACGGAGAAACCCTTCAGTTTGAGTGGACCCAGTCTTGGAAGTACTTGTACATGTTTACTGTCAAAACAGTTCAAGTAAGTAAAATGCACATTTGAACAAACACAAAACCAGTCCATTAAACTGCAGCCTGTCCCTGCTTCAATCAAAATAAATTAGTTTTGTCATTAATGTAGAATACTGTGCCCTTCCCTACATTTAAAAAAACAGCGGCAAAAGCATTACATATTCTTAGGAATTTCTGGAGCCCCAATATAGCTCAGTTTCTAGTATTTAAAGCACTATCTTAACAAAAATGTGACTGAACAAGTCTAATATGAAATATTGTAAATCTCCTTAATGTCAAACAGCTTTGGATTCAAGGAGCATCTCTTAATTTTTTACAATTGTTGTTTGCATTCATCTATTTTAAACAAAAATAAAAGTTTGCAATATATTCATAATATCAAATGATAACAGCTAAAACTTCGAATTTCTGAAATGGCATAAGCCAATCCACTTGTGTACCTAATGAATTACTTTTTCTGGATCCCAAGTTGTGAGGCTAAAATAAAGTCATATCACCCCACAATATAAAAATTATTATGGGTCCTAACCAAACACTGGAGTTTCATTTGACCTGTGAGGAGTTCCTAAGTCCCCTAGAAATTCAATGAAATTTAGGTGGTCAGCTCCAGTATATTTTATCCTTCATTCCTTGTTACTTCAGGATCAGGATACCTAGTGAGTATTTTGGAGAGCACCATTTAAGTACGCTTTGAGACACCTTCACAGAGCCTGATTTTTCATGGGGAATGTACATTAACACTCAAAATCAGAGCTCTCCCTATGACTCAAGCTGAGTTCTCAGAGCTAAGACTTAAGAAATCTTTTTTTACTGACTCTTTCCCTTAATTAATTTCATCACTGTGCTTACACGACTGCATTAAGCCTACTAAGTACAATTGTGTAATTTCTAAAACTGTTTCAACTAGTGCAAAGTATAGATCATCTCCAAATAAAAGACTCTACATTGTAAAACATAACTGCAAAGCTTCTTGTGTGTATCTTCCCCATAATCTCAAAATATGAAAGTCAAAGGAGTGCAAGCTTAGTAGGGGTGAGTCTTTCAGTCCAATCTTTCCAAGCTGATACTCCCTCTCCACTTCATTTACTTCATTTAACTAAAGGCGAAGTTTTCCATAAAAGCAGCTACATCCATTCATAAAATGAATGAGAACCCTTTTTTCTTGCTATGGAAATGGCAAGATTACAGTGCCCAAAGCATAAGTACAATAAGGCAAAATAATGCTTTATCTATTGTTACTGCTCACTGGATAGCAGTAATTCACAGAGATTCCCATACCAGATTCTGAATGTCCATCTCGGAGAACTCTAAATGTCTCTCTATTATATGATTTAATCCAGCACAAATTTTAGGTTCTAATCTCTGTGATCCACTGCATTCATCCTCTGAGCAAGACTGACAACGTTTTCTACCCTTTTATGAAAATAATCTGAAAATTGAGGACATCAAAGAAAATAAAGGTAGGTTCATTAGCATAGCAAAAACTATTGTTTGCATCAACTGCCTTAACTTTTCTTATCCTTTCTTTGTTGATAGGTTATTTCCTATTAGATCTTGCTAAGCATTTTGAATTAGTTCATCTTCAAACCTCACATTTCAACTATAGGAAGTAGAAATTTACACAAAACTTTAGAACACTTTCTGTGTACCCTCAACCAGCAATAATCCCACCCTCACCTTGATTTTAATAGTGTTGTCATTTTAATGTTCAGTGTAAGAAATTATGCAATACAGAAAACACCTGACAGGAGTTTACCTTCAATTACATTATTTGCTGCAGACATAATCACTTTTTTGTTTCCTTGTTGCAGTGCTTAGCACAAGAAGGTGTTCAGTTATCACTAGAGGACCTTGGCATTGCCGTATTGAAATACATTGTGACAAGCACTTAGTTATCACTGGTAATCCCAAAGAGATATTTTTTATCACTACTCAGTCTGGCTTAAGTGCAGGACACCAGCCTGGCTTAAGGATCGCTGTAGTCAGTGGACCTAAAGAAGTACTACTTGACATTCAGGTCCTTCCTTGGGATGCCTTGTTTTCTATGCTCATTGAGGATGCAATGTGGACTGTATTAACTTGTAAAACTGGCCTCATCTGTTTTGAGGATAGTTGAGCAAAATATGTCTTTTGATTCTGAAATCTGCAAACAATGAATGAGCTCATTGATACATTCTTCACTGTTCAATCTAACATCAGACACTTGGAGAATGATTTTTTTTTTTTTCTGGAAGAGAAATTTTGATGAATCTTAACTCCCAGCTTATTCACTAGACAATATGATCCCTGTATCTGACTTAAGGAATCAGGTAGGCACTAAATATTCATTCAAAGGCACCGCTTGACTCTTCTTCTTCTTCTTCTTTTTTTTTTTTTTAAATTAATAAATTTCCCAAGACTAATAATACAGGTTTCATTTCACTATACAGATTTTGCACTAACTGCTTATATAATAATGGCCAGTCTTCGCGAGCGAAGATTTGGGAAAGGTCATTAACCCTTCGAGCCTGCGCAGTGGATTTTTTAGGTGAGACACAGCGTGCGCTGAACTGAGCCCACCCTTTAATCCTGAGGTTCATCTGCCGGGGCCAAGCACGCTTGGACAGTGGCAGTGAGGTCCCCAGGACGTAGGTTTGTTTAGAGTGACCTTCTCTTAGATGGATTGCCTTACAGGGCTGACGAGCTCCATCTGCCCGGGGGCTGGGAATCGAACCCGGGTCGCAGCGGTGAGAGTCCTGCACCCTAACCACTAGACCACCAGGGGCCCCACTAACTGCTTAGTGTGTAGATATATGTGGAATTTCAAATCTGGGGTAATTCCATATTGCTACAAACTGTTTATACCATACAAAGCAGTTGTGTAATTCTTTTGAAAATTGTAACTTCTTTAATTCACAGTAGTTGTTTCTTGTGTCCCCTCTTTCCCCCCCTGCATTTCCATATTTAACTAAACATACCTTCTTCCCTGGGACCAGTCACTCGTACCACCACGCTTGGTATATTGTAAGTTGAAATGTTTCTAAAAAATGAAACTCCTTTTCTTTTCTCAATCCAATAATCTCCACTGAGGAAAAAATTCATTACAAAAGTGACTGAGGATAAAAACAGACAGTCAAAAAGTTCAAGTTTTAAGATCCATCTATGTTCATTGAAATAGCAGTTAAGGAACAATTCAGCCTACAGTATCCCTGATGACTGAATTTGTCCTTTTTCAAGGCTAATTCTCTTCATCTTGAATAGTATTTGCTAAATATTATGGAAGAAAAACATGATTTCAGCTGTGATTTGTACTTGTAGGTTGACTCTTGACACAGGATGCTTTGACAAAAGAGAAAATTATGGGGTAATAGAAAAGCAAGCTCTTTAGGATGTTAATCAGGATCAGTCTTTCTGTTAAGTCATTCTTCACTCAGATCTTGACAAGGTGATAGCTTTTGGAGGATGGAGGTTCTCAATATCATTTGTGTGCTGGATACCATGGCTTCTGTCAATCACTTGTGAGTTTGCCTTGCTTGCTGCAAAATGTAACAGATGATTACTCTGTTTGCTTCAGAGAGACTGGCTCGATGGGCCCTTCTCTTCCTAAGCGTATGTCATCTTCCCAAGATAATTAGATGGTACATATCCTTTCTGACCTTTTGCTTCAGCCAGCCACCATTCTTTATTGCCACTCAGGTCAGAAAAACGAAGTATCCTAACCTTCTGGTACTCCTGAAGACTGAGTTCTTGGTCATTTCTTGCTTGAAATGCGTAAACAGCATAGAAGGTCTGAAAAACGAAAGCCACACAGACCAAAATAGAAATTGAAAAATGTAGCTACATCTTTGCTGTCATTGTGTATTGGTATGATTTCTGTGTACAGAAAACATGTCATAACATATACAAACCAGTGCACAACCAGTGCCTGGGATTGCTGGATAGGGCCAAAATAAAAAGTAAAATTGAAGGTTCTGGGGAATTCTGCACGAGGAGGAATGAACCAAACTCCAAGATCTCTTCACTTTACTATGCTGGTTTTCAGCTCACATCAAGTGGGCATGGATTGAATGAAGAATTTTCCAGCAAGGTTTTCTCAGGGAAAATCACCTTTCACAAAGCTCTTGTATTCAAATGTGGTACATGGGTCACTTCTGTGCTGTGCTGATCAGCATTGCCACAGCTTTCATGTCAATGGTAAGTCTAAAAATGCCCCAAACTGAGCTATTTTGCAGGTTCCTGCTCCATAGAGGAACCATGAGGCATTGTAGATGGGATAATGCAACAGTCTATTTTCTGTGACACGGGACTGCAATTCACAGTTTAACTGATTATCTTTTCTTCCCTCATAGCTACTTAAGAACAGAGGATAACAAATTCCCATGCCACACTGATAGATTAGTGCTAGTCTTTTACGGTGTAAAATGAAACCATTTAAGTTATAAACAGTATAATTCTGGATTTGAAATAGGAGCAACAAGAAGACAGGCACAGTGTGCATCATACTTACATGCTGATCATCCATATCCTGAAGAGTATCAGTCCCTGTGCCATTAATTGTGGGATTTTCACAGATTTGAAGAGAAGAGCTGCTGTCACTCTTCTTGTGCCCTGGACTTCTTGTGCTGCTGTCAGTAGAGGGCCGTGAAGAGACAAAGAGGCTGATATTATCAAAATCATCATCACTAAAGCCGTTTTCTGTGACATCCTTCTGTGCTTTGGCTGGATTGTAAGGCCTCAGGAAGGAGGAATACACATACCCTTTAAGGACTAGAAACCAGAATAAAGAGACAGAAAATAAACAAACAGCAAAACACTGCTAAAATCATTTCAAAACCAGCCATTTTATGCAGCTGTCAGTATGACAGAGGCAAACAGATGGGGCCAGAATGAAAAGAAATCAATATCCCAAAGGGAAGCTGTCATTGGGATCTTTGTGCAGAGAACTTACTTCCTGTGTCAACAAGCCATCTGCTTGTACTTCCGAAGGGGTCCTTTTGCTCCACGACAGCCACCAGTTCTCCTCCATGTAAATCAATATCAAATTCCTGAGTGGCATTGCACTTGCGCTTAGCTTGGTACAGCGATTCGGGGCTGTACGTAGACAACAGCTTGGACCTGTGGCCTTCTGTTTGACGTGGGGACTCCAGCTGAAAAGGAAAAAAAAAAATATTCAGACTCAGTGATGCTGAGGTCATTTCTAGAGCAACTTAGATGCAGAAAAATCTGTGTGTGCTGCTAACGGACCCCGCGTTTTTACATATAGACCAAAGAGTTACTTAGACAGCTATTTGTGACCAAATGGCCTTTGCATATGCAGAAAGGACCTGTCCAACTGCTATATTAATAGGTCAGCAGTAAAGAGCAGATTTTAAATAAATGCAGAAATTTCACTAATTAAAGACCTCTTAAGTCTGTCCTCTGCTCTCAAAGGGATTGTGTTCTGTATGTGAACTGTCTCTTGCTTAATTGTTTTTCTGAAGCAATGATCTTTGTATTCCTATGTAATATCACCAAAAAAAGCACAATCCAAAAAAGGGCTGAGGTGTGCTAAGACCACATAACAACTTGCATGATAAGGCACTAGTCAAAAAAAAATCAGTGGTACCCAAACTGTCTGCTTTTTGGGTGAAATTACCTCCCTAAATGAGGCAAGGAGCTATTAACTGCTGGAAGCATATTTGTTTCAGAGTTTTGGTCAGAGGGCAGAGAGGGAGGTGCTGCACATCAGTATTATCTTAACATACCACAGAAGCAAGAACACATTTGCCTTACTGATGCTAAGAGGAATCCTACAGCTTCCTCAGCTTCTCCTGTAAATCTGCACTTGAGTCTTTACTTTACTGTAAACTAGACTCGTAAAAGCTCTGGAAATGTCTTATAAGATTTGGAACCAGGGGGACACAGATTTCCTGGTGGATTTTTAAAATCTTCTGCTGTCGGGGTGTACGTGTGTGCATATGTGTGTAAACACCAGTACATATAACCACAGCTGAGCATGGGGGGGAAAATCATCTGAATTACAAGATTAAGATGAACTATAAGAGTATTTAACAAAAGAAATAACCCAAGTTATTTATACAACCTTAGACTTAACATGTGCTTAAAGGCCTAAGGGTAATCCAAGCTAATTTCAAGTAGATTTTCAAGATAATACATGAAAAAAGTGAAAAATCATCAGAAGTTACTAGTCAATGAAACAGCTTCACTCCAACAACCTGATTCAGGAAGAGACCAAGCCCAAACCTTTAGGTTGCATAAAAATGGATTTGTTTCAAAAGTGATCAAAAGAGGATGCTTCATACACGATCCAGATGTATGGTACTCACGGGAGAAGGGACAGGTTTCTTTCTTTCCAAGCTCAATTTTCTCTCAATAAATGTTGCACTGCTGTTTTCTTTTACAAAATTCAGCTTGTGAACCTCCTCTATCAATTGATTCTGCACTTCACAGATGCTTGAGGAGGACAGCTGCAAACACAAATGTGGGTTAGATCTCATGTACAAAATGGTAAGGAGATTAGAGAGAGAGCAGATTTGGCTTAATGGGCTGAATGCTAGGAGTCAGGAGATCTGACAAGTTGTGCCAGTTTTCTGCAGAGCCCATAGTGCAGTGTAGTCTCTACATACAGGATGTAGAGGGAAGAAAGGGTCTTGCTTAAAGAAAGTTTCTAGTAATTGCTATTAGATTTAAAAGACATGGCCATTGAAGTTAAATCATTAAAAATATTCTGAATGGTGCTGAAAATGAACAGTCTTGTACTTATGCTACTGAGCCACCTGCTTTCAGATGCAAATGTGCATCTCAGCCAACGTGCTGCACGGCTTGGAGTAGCTTACCCCACAGCTGTGTGTTTGTGCAACTGGGTGCCAATAGGTTAAAAATCATTGGGTAAGCTGAATCTCTGTCTGTGGCACTGGTAAGTCCTTTTGGTCTATGCCTTACCCCAAATGTATTTGCTGATGTAAACAGAAAAGAAAGAAAAAGAATTTGATTTTGTAACCAGACCTTCACAGAAAACAATGCTTGATACAACAGCTTTCAAAACATGAAAATGTTAAATTACAGGGATGCAATTTCTTCATGTGGGAAAAGTCTTCATTTTGGCATTAAACACATAGCTCTGTTTTGATCCTGACCTTGCTTTCTTAATTTTTTTCATCTACCCCTGACTATAATGTGCTCTGTTCAAGCCTTGATGGGAAGGAATACTCTAGAACTGCCTTACTACAATGTGTTTCCTATACAGAGTCTTGCTCTGGTTCAGGTGAGTGGATTTGGATGTGTGGAAGGCACTGTTGCAGCTATGCTTCTCAGGGGGTTCAAGTCCTCCAGGCAAAAGTATGACATAACTGAAACACAGTATGATTTTCACACAAATTGAGAATAGTTTTTCAATTTCAATCTAGAAAGAGTAGAGTGGGCTGGAGGAACTAATGCCCTCCTGTGTAGCCCACACAGGCTCCTTTGGTACTTTTGGCTACATAAGTGAAATGATTTGGACTTTCTGTGCCAGCATAGACAAAGCTATTCCTTACTGCCAAGAGATGTCTGCAGGAGCTTCTGCAGCATATTTGTGTTTAAAAGCAACTTGCTTTCCATAAAAATTATTTCATCAGACCTCCTAATTTGTTTCTCTTTTGCAGTCATCTGTGACTCTGCAGCTCTAGCAGTCACAGAAATGTTCATGAACTTTCTTAGAATTTTTCTTTCCTGCGTTTTCTTGGCCATTTAGGGTAGATGCTAAGAAACAAGATTAAAATGCTAGCAGCTGCCTCCTTTTTGCCTTACTGTAATGTTCTTGCCATTACTATCACTGGAACAGCTGGAACAGTTCCATTAGGATCATTCTCTACAAAAAGTCCAGGTCTGAAAAAAACTTAAGCTCAGAACATAAGTTCCTCAGAACTCAGGTCTGTGGGGTGACCTTATCGTGGCCTTCCAGTACCTAAAGGAGGCCTAAAGGAGAGCTGGAGAGGGACTATTCATCAGGGTATGTAGTGATAGGACAAGGGTGAACGGCTTCAAACTGAGAGAAGGTAAGTTTAGATTATATATCAGGAAGAAATGCTTTACTGTCAGGGTGGTGTCAGGAGGTACTGGAACAGGTTGCCCAGAGAACTTGTGGATTCCCTATCCCTGGAAGTGTTCAAGGTCAGGTTGGATGGGGCTCTGAGCACCTTGGTCTAGTGAAAGGTGTCCCTGCCCATAGCGGGGTTGGAACTATATGAATTTTAATGTCCCTTCCAACCCAAACAATTCTGTGATTCTATGAATTTAACCTTTGCTGAGCTTGCAAAGGAAAAAAAAACCACCTGATTGTGCTCAGCAGAACAAACAAAATTAGTGTAGCTTGTAGATGTGTGTCCTACATAACTTTAACCAAAGCATACAGAAAGAAAAAAAGACAAATTAAGTCAAAGCTATACCTGTTTCTAATGTACTTACTGGAACAGGCACTACCACAGCAGAATTTGATTGAAGCGCTGCAGACATAATATTCCTGAGGAAGGTGATGAAGCAATGTAGGCAGTTCAACACAATCTTTTTGGCTGCTCTGTTGAATACCTGAAGTTCTTCCACTAGCTGTGCATTTAGAGCCTCATAGTCTTTCTTTGCCAGGTTCAGCTCTTCTCCGGTTGACCTCTGAAGGCAGCTGTTGTAGTCCAACAACTTGTCATAGCGCTTCTGGATGAGTTTCTGAGGGCCTGAAAACAAGGCTTGTAGTGCTGAGAGAGGAGTCAAAATAAGCTTGTCCAGTTGAGCCATCTGGAAAGGTATAAAACAGACCTACTCATTACTTCATTCATACAGTCCTTCAGACCCTGTAACAGGGTCTGATGACAGCCTGTCAAGCAACCTGTTAATTACTCTTCACAAAACATTGCTGTCAGTGGGCCTTAAGCAGGGTCCACCATGACTTAGAATCTCCTTCATAACACTGCAAAGGAGGGATATCAGTTTTGCAGTGTCTGGTAACGGCAGTGGTCCCTTGGAGGATGCAGCCTGTGGTACTGACCATAGGGTGTTACCACTGGGGAAAACAGCAAGGATTGGTATAGTGGTCCAATAAAACTGGAATTTCCTTAACTGAAAGGCCCATGCCAATATACAGCCTAAAGGCAATGAGGTCTTGTGAAGTGGCAGTCTTTTTTGCCTTTTTTTTTTTTTTCCTGGAAACAGCTGTAACTCAATTCCTGTTTAAGCAAACACAAACAATCACTTGATTTGATTAAATTAGGTTATGCTTGTTGGTTTTATCTCTAGTAATCAACAAAATTACACACCTGGTAAAAAAAAAGTCTCAGACTTTTCCATTAGTCTCTAATTGTCTCAAGGGATTAATATTGCATGAAATAAATTTTTGTAAGTCACTTGTTCAGATACAGCACAGGTTTGTAGTGAGTGAAACTCCTCATCATATTAAAGCTCTTGGACATTCTATGTGAATTAAGTTGTTGGGTTGAATGTGAGAACACAATCAGCTGTCTCTGTACCCTCCAAAACACATCACAGTTGAGGACACATCCATTTTATCCCCAGAATTGCTCTCCCAAGGCCAAGATGACATACACTGGCTAGATAGCTCCTATTTTATTTCCACTTGAAAATTTTCCCAAAAATCTAATGAGATAGGAAGGTATTAATTATTGCACAAAGGAGAAAAAAAAATTAACCCAAGCCCAGTACTAAGATCTACATTGATAAAAGCGTTTCAGGAAAACATGTGAAGAACCCTATGGGTTGTTCAGTGAGAACATCTACCCATTGTGCAATGTCAAGACAAAAGCCTGTTTTTAAAAAAACCTTACACATAGGATAGAGAATCCTTGTAATCTTGTAAATCCAAGACGCAGAAATAATAACAATGTCCACAGTTAAAACAAATAAGATTAAGTTGTTTGGGGTTTTCTTAATTACATAGACCTTCAGAATAACTGGATCATGAGCTGATAGGTGTTACAATTTTTTTTCTAAAAATAAGTATTTTGTTTCAGCTCTTGTCGAATTACTTTTACTTCTCTTTTATGTTTCTGAGTATGAAGGCAGCTTCCATAATGAACACACTCACCATTGCAATGAACACACTCACCAGTGCAACACACTCTTTTGCACTTTATGCACTCTTTCATTGTAAAGACATTGAAAATATCTTTCTTTGAGATATTTTTGAGATTAATTTTTGAGATAATTTTCAAAGGTGCGAATTTCAGAGGAAAAGATACACATCATCTTACTTCCCTGTCATTATCCTGAAGGCTGGGGTCTGCCAAAGAGCATACTTTTTCTTGCAGACTGAGTGTTTTGGAAAGGATTGAATGGCTATATTTTAGTCAGCACAGAGCTAGGAAAGTGTAAGAAAACCTTCACCTCTAAATTTTTCCAGCTTGAGCAGCACTTTGAAGAAGCAGCCTGTCCCATTTTGAAGAGACATTTTAGCTATCTTATTAGACCCAGACATTACAGTTTATCTGAATTTTGAAAGCAAAAGACTAGTTGAAAAACTCTCACCTTTTTTTTTTTTTAATTGCTTTATTAATTACTATGGGATATATTCAGATTTTTCATGGTTTACCTATGTGGAACACTTGACAGTGCTGTGTTAATATCTGGACTGATCTTAGAGACCTTTCCTAACCCAAACCATGCTATGATTCTATGACTCTAAAGGTAATAACTTACTTGAAAAGTCAATAAATCTGAGATTTTCACAGATCTGCGATTCTAGAGCTAACAGTACATGAGTACAATAGAGATCACAAAATTCACTCTTAAACTGCAAGTGCTGATAATGAAAGTACAAAGGCAAAGTCTGCTGCTCTTGTCTGAAGACATACAAATTTAGCACAAAGATTTTAGTTTAAACCCAGGAATTGAGCTTGAAAAGTTTTCTTTAGTTCTTTTAGGGAAAATGCAATGCATTTACACAGAATTTTATTTTATTTTTTACAGAAACTCAACCAAAAACCCCACTCATCTTTCCCAATGGATTCCTAAGGTGGGGGGGGTTAGTTCCCTTCTGTCCTAGTCTTCCTCACATACACCTGTTTTCTCACACATACAGAGAGCTGTGTAACACTGGACATTGCATAAACTTACAAGGTCTTCACAGAGATTTGCAGTGTTGTTCCCTTTTTTCAAACAGTCATTGACTTTGTCACCTTTATCTTGCAAGATTTCCTGAAGCCCAACTATATTCTGGGCAGCCAGATGTATAGAATCCTAAAAGAGAAGATGGTAGGAAGATGAAACAGTATTACAATCTATTTTAATATACTGTGTTTGCTCGGACAGATACTGCAATAATACTGATGGAATTTTCCATCTCTGACACTCATGCAGCTGCTGTGCAGTTTCCAGCCATTGTGGGGTTGTTTACTGTGATAATATTTTCCTGTGGTTTGTCTATTTTCAATGTAAACTACTTAAGAATTAAGTCGTTAATGTTCATCTGAAAAACCTATGCCCTAAACTAATGAATGTCCCACTGGAAATCAGCTACTCCTCAGCAAGAAGCCAGCTCAAGACCCATGCATCCTCAAAAGCCTCTTTTAGGGGACTATGTAGAACTAAAGTGGTGTATTTCGCTTACTCAGAATTTTAATGAAGTGTGGATCCATTTGGATAAGGAACTGTCAGCACCATTCCAGGCATCAACCCTTGTGGGCTGAGCTCACCGGCCTCACCCTGTTTGCTGAACCAAACAAGGTGTGTTTGTAATAAGCCCTGGCCAGCTGGCTTTTGATCTTACCCACCTCTCAAACAACTTTTGAGTTTGGTTAGGGCACACTTACACTTTGGCCTCATGCCAAAGTTGGCAAGTAGTCCATGAGAGGAAGAGGTTGATAAGTCACAAGCCAACACTCAATTTTGGAGAGGAGGGTGGAAGCAAAGACATTTACAGAATTTGAGCACTCTGTACATCTAATGCTAGGCCTCAACACAACTTAGCAACAGGAAAAAGGAAGGAGTCCTCACATCCAAAATACATATTATAAGACATTTTAACTCATATGGCTGCAACTCAGTTCTTCCATTTTTAATGAGAAGCAGTTTGTGCTCGACTGCAGCAGGTGGGCACAACAGCTTTACACAGTGATTGAAAGTCCTGACTGTGCCACCAGACAGCACCTTCTTCTCTGCACTGCACCTGTGGATCTCCACAAAGCCTGCTTCTGTCAGGGCAAAAATGCAAAAGAGGTGGCTTCAACACTTCTTTGCCATGGGCTCAGCAATGCAGCAGCAGCACAGCTTATTTATTTAATACTCTGATGTAGACAGGCCTGCTTATAAATAATTCGGTGTTGCCTAACCAGCGGCAGAAATCTGTGTCAAACTGGTTATGGTCAGGATTTTGTGGCCACAGATTTCAAAAAGGCTTGTACCCACCTGTAGATGTTGTGAAGAGAGCGAAATGTTCTTCACACACAATTTCACAGTCTTCTCTAAACTTCGAAACAATTTTTCTTCCCTATTAAAGATTTGATCTTTCACCTAAAATAGACATTTCCACTGTTATTTTGGCGGCCCAAAGGAGCCTGGCTAATGAAAGAAACATCCAGAGTGCTGCTAAAATAAATCCCAAACCTTCCCTGAACTCCTCCCTTTGAAAACAGATCAACCCTTAATTCTCCCGAACTCCAGTTCTAATTCAAGAGAAGTCAAAACCACAAGGCAACATGACAGAGAATTTAATTTTTAAATCCTCGTGGAGCTGCTTTTTTACGGGCATACCAGCGCGTGCCGACAAAACTCTTATTGTTGCTCCGTTTGAGGAGAGGACGGGGAGGATGGTGAGATGTTTTGGTGTCGTGGCATCACTTGCCCGGGTGCCGGTCCGTGGGTGATGGGGCGCTTTCCCTTCGGAGGGCTGTAGGTGGCGCTGTTACCCCAGAGCCGTGCCAGCCCTTCCCTGGAAACGCCGGCAGCTGGGAATGGGCTTGTGCTGCTTCTGTGCGCCAGCTGGAAACACCCTGAAAACACGTTTATTTCTGCCTACCTCTCACTTTAGAAGCCTGAGAAATCTCAAGGCTCGTCTTAGGGGTCTCGCTGTAAGGGTCACGGCGTGTTTCAACATGTGAATTGGAAACTTTCTTAGTTTAATTAAGCAGCAGAGATGGCTGAATCTTTAACAGATGTATTCTGATTCTAAAATGATTCTCAAATGTTTCAAGCTTAATGAGAAACAAAACCAAAAAACATAAACCAGAAGCTTCTAAAGGAAAAAAAATAAATCACATATCCTCGTAATCAAATTTAATTCCGGGGTTTTTTCTCATTTTATAGCCTTGCTGGTGCCTGTCACATTCTGAATACAAAAATTTCCACTGTACAAATAAATGAACAGAAAAAAAAAATGTGGGTAGTTTTCATCAGAGAAAGGGGGAAACCACTGATAAAAAACAAAACAGGAAAAAATGGCATGTACCTTGTAAAGTCACATCTAGAAAGGCAAGTGACCTTGTATGATCAGCCATCTCATGCAGTGAGCTGTACTGGATACAATTTTCAAGGTCAGTTGCAATTGATTTTCTTTGAGATTTAGATTTAAGCTTTCCTGAAAATGTTTATCCTGCTAGGTTTTGAATTACAACTTTGAAATTATGAAGGAGCATTTTATTTTTGGCTGCCCAACACCCATCAGACTCATCACAGAGTTCTTTGTCTCTAGTAGTTTTGATGGTTCCAGGTCTTTACACATGTAGAGGCAAACCCCACGGCCTCTCCTAATTAGAGGTATTGCTCATCTTCTTTGATGGGTTCCGAACCTGAATGCTACAACATGGAGCAAGACAGACTGAACATGTTCTCGGCACCAACAATAACTATTGCCAGTTTATCTGCCAAATGCTGACCTCAGGCTTAGTTTTACAAAACTACCACTCACTTCCTCTCTACTGAAGATCAGAAGTTTGAGAAACTCTTGTGTAAAAAAGGAAAAGGTGGAGAACGCATTACATTATTTTCTATTTCAATCACAAAGATCTTTCCTGTCTTCTCTGGCAGTCAGAAAATTACTTTACAAATTATGCAGAAAAAAAGCGCAACACCACAAACTCCATTTCCAACACGTTTTGAAAAGCGTCCAGTGCAAAAGCAGAACTGAACCTGTTGATGCAAATCTGCAGTGAGATGAGTAAGTACCTGAGGTTCTCCCCCTGTCAGTATTTTCAGATGGCTGGTGACCCTCTTGGATTTCTTGCTGATGGAGTGAATATTCAGTCGGGAAAACTTTTCTTTAAGGGTTTCATCATCATCATTCTTCCTATACTTCAGCACTGCAGACAGAGAATTTCATTACATTAATAATCTGTATTCGCAGGACTTTTCAAAGGGACAGGCACACAAATATGAAACCATTTGAGAGCAGACACTTTGATGTCACTTGCTGTAATCTTGTGTGAAAATGCTTGAGAGGATGAAAACCCTGTTATCAACACTAACCTTGGGAAGAGTGAAGTTAGGGCTTCAGTGTGGCAAGTCTATAAGAAATATTACTATTACTGCATCTTAATTATTATCAGTGTTTGCAACTGCATTACAGACAATATAACATGAATTCTTTCATAGTTTTGATACTGGAGTTACCAGGCAGATAACATAGTTGAAACTCGGTGTATTACACAGCGTGGGTGGCACCAGCCAAAACTGTTGTAGTGAAATACCTAGAGTTGAAACCTCTCTTGTAATGGACAGCCCAAACCTACAAAGACTTACTGTGCTTTTTTCTTACCTAAATCTTTCCTCCTTTTAAGTTCATTGATGTTCACATTAATGTTTTTCATGACAAAAAGGGCATCTTGTAGCGCCTTGTGGTCAGGGTGAGAAGCAGGAGTTGAATTCAAGAGTTCATGGAGTAACAAGGGATATTTCATCACCCGTTGCACTGGTTTAATCATCAGAGATCCCATGTCCATTAGATTTGGCTTCCCTCTATAATTTATACCAAAAAAAATTGTCACAAAATAAGAAAATCCTTGAAGGCAAAACCTTGTTATTACTTCTGTCTAGTGATTGAAGCTGTTGCCTTTTATATTCTTCAGCTGAGCTTTTACCTACAGAAAATATCAAAACCAGAGCAATCCTTTGCACTGAGTAATAGTCACTTAAGTGCAATTACCATTTAAGTCAAAAAATAAGACACATCCGTCAGGGAACGAACGGAGCCTGTTGTAAACGAAACTCTCCTGTTGCCCCCTCAATGTGACATACACCCAGAATTTTCTGTATTTTCAGCAACCTACCAGACTATTGCTTAGACACTACTTCTGAAATTGTCCCACTCAGTCTGAGGGTGCGTGTGGTATAACTTACACATAACAACACCCAGGAAGGGAGAAGTAGGTGGAAGAACAAATAACAGGAAGTTTGAGAAATGCATGTGAGCAGGGCTGTTACATCCTGCTCTGGCACCTCAGGCTTAAAATTTCAACATCTACATGCTGTGAGTAACTGGGATGCCTGCTCAAAATGCACCCCTTCTCACAACATCTCTGACTTCCCACCGTGACCTGACCCTTAAGCTTTACTCTCTTTTGCTTGTGGCTTTTCTTTGCTGGCTGCCAGCTAGTTATTTCTAATGATGCCTGAACTTCCAAAGGGTACCAGATTGGGCCTGGGGAAATGTTGAACACACAGGATATTCACCCAGGCTTGATCCAACCTGCTGGAAGACTCCTTACACAAAGGCAAAGCAGGCAGCTGGTCAGGGTGGCAGAAGGACGAGAGTAGGGGAGTCACAGCTTCCAGCACAGGCAAAAGGGGTGCTTTGTTGATCTAGGGTAAACCCCCACTGGCTGGGCAAGGGCAGCAGAGCAGTTTCCCCAGACATCCAAGTGCCTCAGGCCATGAAGGCCACCCGAGCTCTTGGGCCCCAAGCCAGCTGAACTCATGCTCCAGCCCTGCTCTGGACAAAAGCCTTTGCTTACACTCTCCAGGCTTGAATGGAAGAGGCTGTGCAGCGTGCAGGCTGTCACAACAGCCTGGAAGGAAACAGGAAAGGGCAAGACTGAGCCATATGTGCCTTCATTACCTTCTTTGTAGATGGTAGAAACATGGGGTGTCCCCGGAACAAGTAACACCAGGTGGTCAAGTCCTAAGACCAGGCCCAGTCACTGCTGAACCGCCAGCAGCAGGACAGATATGTCCGCGGCCTCTCCTCACTACAGTGCTCCTCAGCAAACCAGGCAAAGCTCCAGCACGAGCTACCTGGGACCTCTCTCTTGAAACTTAGCATGAGCTTCTAGTAACCATGTGGAGGGCAATAAAGCAGAGCAAGCTTTCCATTTGCATGGCCAAAAGGCTGCTTTGGAGCAGAAAAAGTTGTTTGACATTAACTATGCAGGAGTTAAGGGTAGGCAAAGAAGGATTTCTGCACATGGAAAGATGAAATAACACAATGTAGGAAAGTACAAAGAACAGGGAACAGCCACTTGGTTTTGCAGGCTGACATCTATTGTTTTGTGCAGCAGAAAGAGTACAAGAAAAAAAAGCCTTCATTCCCATTTTTATATGTGTAAAAAATACAAGAACCAATCCTTACTGCTGACTAATTAACTAACAATTTGAATGTCTTTGAGAAGAGACATCTGCATATTTATGCCATCTCAAACATTATCTGTAAAAAAGTTCTGCATGAAAAAAAATTAACAGTAGATGCCTTTTAAGGCTTCTTGATATCCCGAAACCTTCTCATCATTTCAATCCCCCTCATTTCCCCTATACCCTACATTAAATAGAGAGCTATTTTCCCTTCTTTCAGCTTCTGGTGGCAATAATGAAAAAAAAAATCTTAAATTGTTATTGTTTTCTCTGAAAAGCCCCATGAATGCAAATCTATAAAAGCTGCCTCATGAATGGAAAAATCTTCAAGTGTCTTCTCTTTATATAGTTGCACTTTGGACAGCTGCCTAAGTGATAAACAGTCCTCTGTTTTGTATCTGCATGACACAGTCTTGCAGTATGGTGTGAGAGATAGCAGGTTTGTTATAAGATAATGACTCCCTGGGGCACAAAATGCCACAAAGTTCAACTCATCTGATTCTCCCCAGCACTATTAGCTGAGATAGCCACTCTTCCTGGACAAGTCCCATTTGCAATGCATCCCAGTAGGACACACCCGACCACTGGGCAGGACGCGGCCTTGCCATGCAGGAGAGTAATGGCTCGTGACATCTGTTGTGCAAAAAATTAAGTTCATAATTCATTTGTGATGCTACTTCAGCCTTCCCTCCGTGTTATTGTGAATTTAGCAAGTATTCTAGATCATACATAGCTGTACTAATCTCATCGCAAATTATTACTGTAGCTCTGCAGTAAATGCAGCTGGTGTAACTGCAGTGAGCTTCATGACATATCCTTCCTCCTGCCTCCCAAAGTCACACATACAGAAAGATTCCCACCTGCTTAAAAAATCCATGGTGGTGAGGTACACAAAGGCAGGTGATGCAGGATTTAATGTCATTTGGTCTCATTACCCAGCAGCTTGTTCCAGTGGCAAATGCAACAGCCAGTGTGGTACAGCCAGGCTGAGGCTGGTGGGATATGCAGCTTGCCAGTTTTGAAACAGTGTGCAGGCATTAGGCTGCAGAGCCAACTTAGAGTCTCAGGCTTTGTGGTTTGCTGTGCGGCTTCATTTTAGTACAAGGCATGTAGGACAAATAATTCACTGTGCCGTAAGCCTCTCATGCAAACCCAGGGAATTCACTGAGGTCACACACTTGTTAAGCCAAGCAGAGTTTTTAACCTATCAAGCTGCTAGCAGAGGGCAGCACTGTCTGGTATTTATGTAATTGTTTTCTTGATCATGCTTGAATGAAAAGCAATCTGGAAGCAGCAACATCACAGACCATTTGGAGTGAGTTAGGCTGTATTTTTCAGTTCAACGTCAATTGGATTTTTGGGTGCAGTCCTGCCACAGCTCTGCAACCTCTAAGCTGAGTTCCAGGTGATGGAATTTCTGAGTGCTCTGCCGGTCAGCAGGGAAGGCAAATGCCACCACACCATGTGAGGTAGCCAAGCCCAGGGACAGGAGTATACAAGAATGGCCTTTATCAAAACAAAAGGCAGAAAAACTATTTCCTATCATAGAGTAAAGCTTGGAACTCCCAACTTTAGAGTTTCAACATGCAAATCCTTTGAAGTGTATTTTACGCAGATCATAATTATTACATGCAAATGACTGACTAACAAATTCTCTGATTTTACAGGTAGGTCTGTTCCTCTCCTACCAATATAGACCACACTTGCTCCTCTCTTCTCTTAACATTTCATCTGAAGTTGTAATCTTTTTCCTTCTGTTCAGCCACCCCCTCCTCTGACCTCTCACTGCAGGTAACTAGAGGCATTGCTGCATTTCAATGATCCCAACCTGCTGGATGTCCAGAAACTGCAGCTGTGATAAATTCTCCTTTATAGCTTTTCAAAGATGTCACATTTTGCACAGAAGTCCCTTAACCACAACTCACCAGTGGCTGGAGGAGTTCTCTGGCTAAGCGTTGCAATGAGCTCGTCATTGTCACTGTCAGAAGGAAAATCCTAAGGTGGGCTTCTCATATAAGGCTACTGAACGGGTCATCAGGTTAAAAATACCTTTACCTGCGAATCTGTCTGTATTGTAGCAGGTCTACAGCAGCCTATGCAGAAAGATTTCAGAATGTCTGAATTTCAAAAATTGATGCTATGTTGTTGACAAGCAGTCTTGCAGACTTCAGAGCCCTCTACATGTGTCCTGGAAAAATCTTTGGCTTATACTGACATAAAAAGCTTGTCTTCTTAAAATTTCCACCTGTACAGTTTTAAACATACTAAAGATAAATTAAAGGTATTTTAAAGATTATTTTACATGTAAGAAAGGCAGAGTACTTACTCTTCTTCATATATCTTTCTGCAAAAGAGAAGAAAACAAAGCATGTATTAGACTCCTCCTAAAAGGATTTATACAGATCAGGAGCCAGATTCTCGGATACATTTCAGTGACACAGAGCAGCTGTAACTGGCCAGTTAACTCAGGTTTATGGCTGCTATGTGTCAGCAGAGCTGTACAAAGCAGCCAGAGAGTATCGGTTAATCTGGCCCTATAACTTCTTGAAAGGACAGACCCAAATGAGAAAGGATTGTCAGAAACCTGGCTTTGGCTATGAGAGCCAGCCTAGTCCTCCCACTGTTAAGAGAAGGAAGTTTGGATCACTCTGCTAGCAACTGTGAGAAATATTAAGTCATTACTACAAAAAGTAAAATTGAATATGTCATTCTTATACTTTACATACATTCCTGTCTTCTCTCTTTAAAAAGAAATGTATTTCTAAATGAGAAAGAATACCTTTTAGCCTTTTAGGATATAGAATAAATGAAGTTGTTAAGCTTTTTGTAGACTACACATCAAATGAAACCTCTCCAGAGTAGAATGGAGTAGATTTATATACTGAAAGCAGCAGGGACTTACAATTGTAATTTACAAACATGCAAGCACATGCACAGAATGTTTTCCTTGTGGTATGAATTCACTCAAATGCAAGAGAACCAAATGTCCCCTCATCTCTGCATTAGGCTTTCCTGATATCACATTCTCAGCCACTTCTTTTTGACAGCCTGCACTCTCATCTCCTTGCCCACCAGTGTCTAGCTGAGCATCTGGAAGCTGCTGCTTTCATAGCTTTTGCACTGTCAGCATTTTGTGTGCTTAGGACGTCCCTCTGTCCCTGTAATATGTGACCGAGCTACTCCAGGCTGAAAGCTGAGCAGGTAGTTGCCAGCATCCTTTCATTTCTACCAGCTGCATTTCTTTGGCTAAACTAGCAAACAATATCCCCAGTTCATATAATCACAGCTGAAACACGAGGCTCTACAGAATTTGGATTTGCACGTCTCCAATGCAGACACCTACATTTTGGGATGAATTTTTTTCCTCTTCAGTCAAAAGGAATAGGAATCTCAGCATAGCTAATTAAATCTGATTTGTCTGTACAGATGTGCAGAGTGCCACTCTTAAATTGCTCCTGATATAGAACTTGTTTTTTACATGTCAGATATTACTCAGCTGAGGAACAGAAGTCCCTAGTAATGTCAGCTAATTTAAGATTTTTTAAAATGGAACAGTATTCTTTCCAAGGAAAAAAAAAATATTTAACAAGTAAACATTTTTCAAGAGTAGTCGTCACCAGCCCACACCCACACACCCCGACCCCACCACCCACCCCCCCACTGCCCACATTTGTTATGTCTCACAATGGAAAACAGCCTATAACTTATTTGGTAACAATCCTACATAATTTTCTTCCTAGGGCAAATATTTTCCAATGGGTAGTAACAGGTTTAAATGACCACAGTTCTGCATTTTAGCATTTGAGGGTGGACTTTCAGGTCTTCATTGGCTGCAATCTTTAGGCAGTGGGAAAAAGCACAATATAGTATACACACACCAGTGCTTTTATCGTTGGTTCCTGTTCAAAGGCTAATCAGGAAAGAACAAGACAAAACAAGGCTTCATTGTAAGGAAGTCTTTGTCACTTCCTGCTAGCAAAGATACAGTAGCTCAGCACAAAATATCCTTTCTCTTCAGAAAGCTCAGCTGAGATGTTGGAATACGAGCACCTCTTGCTGGCTCTGGAATTCAAGTGACAGCCTCCACCCTAGCATGTACATATTTTTTATCTTTATTTTCTTCCATGCCCCCTTGCTTCAGCAGCAGGGATGAATGACAGTAGCAGCTTCTCTTGATTAGCCAGGAAAGAATATTGCAGGCATCAGCAACTAAAACATTCCCTTAGGGGAGATACCTGGTCATCCATTAGCCTGAAAGCCTGAGTTTATATGAAAATCTGTTTCTTTCAACTTTCAGGGTAGCTAAAACCTGAGCACCCTGCACATACACTTTGTTATGTATTTAATAACCGGATATATTGCACAAAATAAGCGTCATTTTCAACATAACCTGTTTTCAAAGTAAACATTTCTCTTTCAATGTTGTTGATATTTTCCTCCACCACTCTTTCCAGATTTCACTTGGACATACTTCCCATCTCCTAAATCTTAACACATCTCTGCTCTGAAATTGTGGCATTTTCCCTCCTGACACCTCTGTGTGACGCTTTTGGAAAAGCAAGGGGGCAAGAGAATTTATGGGTGGAAAGAGAAGCACTCTCCATGGAGAGGATGAGCAGCACTTCCTCCAGTGACTGGCTGAAGCTGGAAGCTGTGGTGAAGGAAAGATGGATCCTTTATTCTGAGGCATCCCCAGTTCTTGACACATTTCCCCGAGGGCAGGCGCTGAAGCCGATGGCATAAAGCACCTCCCACTGGTGGGACCTGGCAGCTTGCTCCATCACTGTTCACTCTCAAACACCCCCATCATGAGGGGTTCAGCACCACATAGCAGCTCCAGACCCCTGGGGCCTTGCAACAGGGGCCCAGAAACACCAGTGCATTTGAGTAGCTGCATTACAGGCTATTTAAATTCAAGCAATAGAATTCCTGAAGACAGGGGGACAGCAAGTTTCCTGGGAGATGGGCAAGGTGTTTCCAATATGATATGATGCAGCATTTTTTTTATTTGCCAGTATGGGGCACTGAAACTAAGGGAAGAGCAACCTTTCTTGTGCTATTTTTGGCCATCTTAGAGAGAAAGAAATCTAATCATGGCCCCTGGCTTGTCATCTTTTCATGAAAGCAGCATAAGCTAGAGCTCCCAGCAAGCCTTATAGAACTCCAGATTTACAGGGGACCTTTCATCTACATCCATTTAAAATGTTCCCTGCCAGGCAAACTGACTATGGACGGAAATCATCATTTGAAAAGATCTTACTTTAAGGACTGTACACAGTCTCTTAAATGCTGCTTCAGTTCTTCATCCTTTTCATAGGATTCCAGCATGGTGTGTGCATCATCATGGTGATAGCAATAGATTTTATATGTGTCTTCTAGTGGGCCTTTAATCTGCAAGAACACTTCCCCTGTTGAGGAGAAAAACAAAGCATGTCAAGTCAGACAACAGCATCTCAGAAGGAGTTTTATTATTCCACCACATTAGCCGTGAGCTAAAAAGGCTGGCTTGCACTTTACTTCCCTTAGAAATGATCTTGCGTGTTTATGTGCATTATTTATTACATGTATTTCTCAGCTGCTCATCTTTGTCATAGCCAGGCATCATTATATCAGTGTTAATGCAAAAAATTCCCTCAGGAAAAAGCATGAAATCTCTATACCTCGCACCCCTTCAAACACATTCTCCTAATTCACTGCCCCAGCTTAATGCCCCTGCATTGGAAAACACACAGCAGAGCTTAACTGATAAAGGGAGACCATTTTTGTGTCATGGGCTGGCAGGAGGGATGAATGTAAGCCTGTTAGTTTTCCTTTTGACTTTTTTTTTCATCTGAATATGAACTTAATTCGGTTATAACAGGAATAATGACTCTATCTTACATTAGCCATTTCAATTTTATCTGTTTTGCAAAATCCTGAAATGGCAATTGTTATAGCCTAGAATAGAGAATTTTCTTCTCATGACAGAGGGACAATCTCCACCTCTCCCCTCATTAAGTAAACCCACAATGGATTACAGCCATTTTTATATAGTATCTAGGCTTATATACAACTGAAGAGGGAAAACATTTCCATTTCAAGTCATCCACACCACCATTTTCCCCCAAAGAACAGGTGGGAATTTTAGAGGCACTAAAGTAGTCCTACACTCATTTTCCATTTAATTCTGGAGCCTAATTCTCTCAGTTTAAGACTCCTGTGTCAGTTTCTATGTACGTAAGAAATACTACCCAGGCGGAGAAGGTATGCTTCAGCTCTTCTGCCGAGATATTATTTTGGTTCTTACGCCCTCACGTAGCAGTGCCCTGATCAGAGTCCTTGGAAATGCATATAATAAAAAACAGCAATGCTAGAAACTCCTGTCTTGGGCATTTACTGAAAATTACATCTATGTGGCAACAAGTCCAACATTTTATAGACATTCCTTTTGAGTTATAGCAATGATTATTAAAGTTAAAAGCCGAACACCACATTAATTGGGAGCTCTCTATTCATCCACAGAGCAAGCGCTGAGCTGTCATGCATCCTGCATGTTCCATCCTGACCAGAGTGCGCTGTTTCATAATACATTGCATTGAACTGCTCCGTCTTAAAGTGAAAAATGATTCAGTTACCACAGTAACACAGCTCTGGGTTTTTCCCCCTGGCAGCGAAGGTTAACTGGGCTGTCTAATGCATGTTGTTTTCAAGGTGTGAATAAGGGAAAACAATGAAGAGCTAAGACCACCAGAGTTCATTTCAGTTACTGTAAGGGCACAGTTAGAAAAGCACCAGCATCCTATAGTTAATGCTCTTTAGCTGTCTTCTCTGTCTTGTGCTTATTGCTAATGTTGAATGCTACCAATGCACATTGCATCCTGACTTTCCCATGAACTCTCTATGCAGGTCTTTATTAGCTAACGATGTAACAGGAAACCTTAACAAGCTTTCTCTTGATCCTGAGCACTTGATGCTTGATTCTCAGAGATGATGAGCTCTCACAGTGCTTGGCATGGCCTGTACTATGCTAAGCACTCAAGCGAGGTTCCGTTTTCAGTGGAAAAAATGCAAGCTGTAGACTTATAGCTCCTTTCAGTATATACTAGAGGCTGGAAATTATCTTCCCCAGGATGAAAGAGATGAGCGAATTCTGTTCACTGAAGTATTGTGCCACAATGACAGATACTTTCATTGATGCTCAGTGATGAGAAAAATTATGTGCTGATTTCATGGATAGGGCCTTTTAAAAGCAGATGGATTTCTTAAGCCTAAAGCCCTTCTTGGTTCTGAGCCATATGGACCGAATCAGATGAGTTTTGGGCATATCACTGTGGGAGCTTGCTTTATGGACCAAAACCACACCGTATTTGGGCACAAATTTAAAAATACTCTGACAGATGCAAATCTGCCTGATGCCTCTTCTGGAGTATGGTGGTCATCAGTGTGAAAGATAAAATCCTGGGAGGAAGGCTTGAGTAACAGAAACAGTTTCCCCCCATGGCTTTCAGTGGCGCTTCCTGTGTGGACAGCAGCAGGAGAGGGAAGAAGAGGGGGTTTAATAGCTACAGCTGAGTCAAGGTTACTAAGTCTTCATATTCCTCTATATACAGCATCCAAAACAGGGAGGAGAAAAAATTCAGGGGAGAACTGTAAAGGGTATTTAACCTCAGAGGCATTTAGCATCAGAAGACCAAGCACGACAAAAGGTCTGCCTACATTAGCACTTTAGCTCAGATTAGGAGAGGGCTTCTGAAGCCAATCACTCATTAGTCCTCATCTCCCATGCCTTGTACGTGTGGTGGAGCAGTCACAGAGACACAAACTGGATCTCTTTGGGGATGGTAATTACCAGAAGACACACTCCAAGGGCACATTTTATGCAGTCCAACCACAAAGGGCATCTCTCAAACCACAGGAACAGGCTACAGCCAGTCTGAAGTAAGGCCTCTTGAAATGTTAGTATGGATACCAGCTCCTTAGCAGAAACTCTTTAAATCTGCAAGTCTGCTCCTATTGGACATTAATACTTGTCAGTGCGGACATAGCCTAAGTGTGGAGAACATAGGCTAAAATAAGACATGAATGTAAGCAACCACATTGTTTTGGTTTCAAAGCGCTGTATTAGCAGTTCTCCTCAATCTCTCCATGATTGGGTTGCCTTCCAAAGTATGATACTTCAATGCAAGATATTTAAAAACATTAAACATGAGGGAATATGATGGATGTGTTAAAACATTCTCGGCCCGGTTTTACTATAGGCTGGCTTCAACAACTTTTACACTGATTGTTAAGATCCCCCAAAAAAATTACCTTGATGTAGTTTTACAGGACAATAAACCTACTAACTTACTGCTTATAGTGATGCAGTTATTCTCCCTGCTTTTGTCTCAGCCTTTGAAAGAATGTCTCACACCTTATTTGACAGCTTTTTCCCTACTATAGCTTAGCCAACTCTGTGATCCACAATACCATACATTTTCATGGTTCTTTGTCTGATTCTGGAGAAATACACCTAATAGATGGATGAAATTGTTTGTCTTTACTTCTGGATGTGACAGGGAACTAATAGGATGATTCTCTTGGCTGTGAGAAAGGCACTTCCTGCTAGAATAGAACATTGCTTATTAAGAGTATGACTCATCATGATGCACTTTCACTGAAATACCGCCAAACAACAGACGTGTCAAACTACGTTAAGCTGTTGCCTTGGCAAACCTGACTGAGACGTGCTAGGATTAATACTTTTCCCAAGCCTCATACGCTTTAATATCATGTTTCTTAGTCAAGTGGCAACCAATATTTTTTACCCCCTTATTCACGAGAAGAGGGGTACTTTCTATAATGTGTTACCTGTGGTATGTGGTCAGTTTAGGGAAGAAAGAACCTCCCTGACCTCTGAATCACAGCTGGAAGTTTTTTAAACTAAACTGTCTGACTTTTCACTAAAGTAAATTAAATATTCTCACCTGATCCCTTAGGATGGCTCACCTAGCGCCTCTGCACTGAAGAAGCAGTTATAGGAAACCTAATGAGTGGTAACTTCTTAAATCTCTCCAGCTGCACCAGAATGTCAAGTGAATCATAGCCTTAACATTCATGGCCTGGCCTGTAGAACTTGTGACTGCTGTGACATATCCAGGGCCAACCCGTTTGCTGAAAATACCCATAATCCCTACAGACATTCCTACACAGAATCCCACAAACTTCAGATTCATTACAGCTTTCTTTACTGTCCAAGTCCCTACTAAGCACACTTAACCGCCTCTTACATGAACTGTGTCTCCAGTGGATACATGTTTACAGTGTTGGGGCGGGGGAGGGGGTGGTAGTGTCATATGGCATCCTTGTTATTCCAATCATTTTTAATGCTTTTCCTGAATGGCATAACAATGAGTATGCATTACAAGAGTTGGTATAAGCATGAGTGGATTTAGGAAGGCAATATCAAACTCGACAAAAAGGATCTTATCAGTAAGTTGTATAACTCAGTGCTGCAGGTTTTACTCATTCTAAACTCATTTTCTCTTTCCTTCCTCCCCTTCAACATCCAGATGGATGGAAAAAAGAGCATCATAATCCTACAAGTACAGTAGAACAACTGGACAGGTTTCACATGTCATTTCTCCTGTGTCATTATGGACAGCTTCTGGGAGGGATACTGGGGAGGAAGTCAAGTCTGATGAGAGTGGAGGACAGGAGAGAGTTACGTTTATTCTTTCATGTAGCTTTGTAGAACTCAAGAGGACGGTAAACATACCGATTATTTGCATGGGTGGCTCCACATCTGTTGTGGCTTCTTCCAACAATGACAGCAGTTTGGCTGATACTTGATGGACCAATTCAATGTTGCTAAACAAGCCATCCACGTCAAAGCGAGCAATCTAATGGAATACAAATATTAAGCAGCTACTGACAAAGGATAAAGAAGGACATTGTGTATTACAGACCTTCTCTTGCTATGCCCTGACTGTTCAACACTCCAGGAAGCACCACTTCTGCAAAACCTCATATAAACATCCTCCTTGTGATTTCAAGGACACATATACAGTTTCCAGATTACTATAATACGGTTGACGCAGTTAACAAAGGGTATGTTATCAAGTGCTTTTAACCTTTATTTTGAACTATCCCTAATCTGAAAGTGTTTACCTGGGAAGGAAATAAATATTATCATCTGAATAAAGAAAAGATCCTTAGCTGGCTTTGAAATGTTTGTTTACTTTCCCACTGAGGAAAACAATAGTTGACAATGGGTTTTATTCCCTGATTACCACTCACTAACAGAGGCTGTTACATAAACTCAGACCTTGGCACTTCGGTGCCAGCTAACAGGTACAATGACTTCTAGAAAGCCAGTATCATTTTAAGTTAGTTGTCCTATAAATCCAAGAATACAATCAAGATCATATAATTTCCACTAAAACAAACACATTTATCATTTTGCGTATTAATATAACCTAACGAGCTTCCTACAGAGCCTAGGCACACAATATGGGCTTCAATGAACTGTATCAATTTATACCAACAGAAAATTTGGTACTGTGTCCCTACTCATTTTAGAGGAAGTAAAAAATTTCCAGGACACATATTTTTCGTTGCACAGCAGGGCAATAGTTACTATCTGGGGACAACTGGAGATAGCCAGCGGTAATTTGCTAATATTGAGAACAAAGACAAGACCAATTTCATCATCCATATTAATACCCTCGAAACCTACCTCGCCATTTGGAACAGAATTGCTGATTTACATAGCAGCTTAGCAGATGCCAGGAGGATCAAATTGCACGCTATTGTAACAGAATCAGAAAAATACTTCCAGTACTAATGCAGTTAATTTCTTTAGAAATATTATAGGGACTAAAACATGTTTTATCCATTTGGAAATATGAAACAAATTCATTGTTAGGCCAGTTTTCTAAAAGCTATCCTTCTCTAAACACATTACAAACTTTCAATGTGGTAGTTTATCTGAAAACTAGCCTTAAAACCATATAATATTCTTTAAAACCTTTCAAAAATGCAGACGTTATTACATTAAGAGAGTTATAATCTCTACATTACTTCTCCTGTATACATCTAGCACAGGACTTCTGACCTACTCCCCAGAACAATGTCTACATATATCCAAACTATGCTGTGTATGGACACTTACACAGGTTAACACAGAATGAATGGTTTCAGTTGACTGAAAATGAGCAAAAGAATACAGCACATTTGTCAAAAATCTCAAGTTCAGCCAGACAATACTCTTGTTCAGTGCTGGCCAGGCTGGGGAGGGAATCAAGTGGAGACTACTAAGTAGATGAACAAGTGAGGAGGAAGAAGTCAAGAACTCCTTAAAGTTATGTCATCAGAGGCCAGCTTTTCTGAAAATGGGTTATTCTTCTGAAAATGGGTTATTCTTCCGAAAATGGGTTGGAACAAATTCCGACAGAGTTTTAGGAATGAAAAAAGGTCCTGCAGGAGTTTAAACAGCACAGAGTTCAGCTGACCACAGCGTTTCCCGAAGAGGCATTGTCAATGTCACCTAAAGACACTTTGGCCTCTGCACCTATATTTTATCACCAGTTTCATAAGAAACCCTACATAAAGAGAACCTGGGTTAAGGTCTATTTAAAATTATTTTTATTCCATATTTGCAGCAGATATAATTAGTGTAGCCTCTCTGAATGCTATATTTCAGGCCCCAAAAATACAAATCTTTCTCTTCACAATCTCTTCTATTCCCAGCTTTCAGCTTCACCATTTTCCTACAAATTGAAATACTGTTGAGGAAAAGGTGCTCTTTGAAGTCTCAGCTAAAAAAGAAAATGGCTATCATTGGCCTAATGAGATCTTTTGCCTGAAAGATAGTTTATGAGCCTTCCTTCTTAAATGTATCTTTTCCGTGTAGAGTGCAAATTTCCCAAGTGCTCGATGGCCTCTCAAGCATGGTGTTTATCCACCACAGCTGTCTGAAAGGATGGATAAAGTTATCCTAACAACTGAATTTAAACTTGATGCAGAGGTTCATTCCATTCCAGTTTCTATTGTAGAAAAAATCTTGGTTTTATTAGTTGTTACTGCTTTTCGAGGTACCAGTAAAGGTCTGCCAGGGCATGTAAGAAAAGTTATAACTACAGAGCGGTATGGAGAGCTGGAAGCTGCTGTTGCAGCCCACAGGAAGGTATATAGCATCCAAGCTGGCCTCTGGGCGAGTACCTCATGCAGGCTTTATGCAAAGGCAGCACAAGTGTCAGGAGCATATCTGACCTTCCTCTCTCCTCACCAGAGCCCTGACATATCACTTTCTGGAGCGCCAGCTCCAGCACCATGTCACTCTCGTGCTGGCACTTGTGCTTGCATTAAGACTGTCCAAAAGAATGTGGGTGAGTTGAGACCTTGACATCACTACCTTGTCCTCCACCCCCAGCACTCACCTGCTTGTTTCTCAGGGGCTGAATCACTTCCTTGATGCAAAGGTCCAAGTTGCTGATATAGTCTTTCTCGGTCTGCATGAGTTCTGCAATGATTTTCACCCTCTTGGCCATCATGCGTCTACTGACTTGTTCTTCATCCTCCTGTGGCGAGGTGGCCACCTGTGGGGCCATTTTTTCTGTTTAAAAGAGAGAGAAATTCGTAAGAGTGTACAAAGCTTGCCCTGCACAACCATGGGTGGGGAAACATATCTGGTGCCTGCTGGAAATTCCCAAATCACCATGGAGAGCAGGAAAAGAAGCATAAGAAGTGGCAAACCCAAATCAGACTGAGTGTCATTCCATCTCCTTCCTCTAAAAGTGGACATGGATTTGGGGAAGGAAACTGCCCCTTTGGCATTAAGAGGATAACCCATCACCAGCTCCCCCAGCTTAGATGTTATGTATTGGGCAGAAATTTTCTGTGGAGCCCAGGAAAGCCTGATCTTTGTTACACTGAAGTTCAAGGATAGCTGATGCCCTTCTACTCCTTTGAAAACACAGTCTTGGTCTGACATCTATTATGATTTGGAGGACGGGAAAAATATATTCTGTGAAATAAAAAGGCTGCCTACCATAAAAAAGCTTCACAATAATAACCTTTGTTTTGTACAATGTAACATTGAGTCTATTCATGGGAAATAGAGGGCAGCAAGTACTGGAAGACAAACTTTCAAATGAAGGCAATGTTAGTAACAATAATGATGAATCCTCTAATTCTGTTTAAAAATAATCTTTTGAAAGAGGCAAAGGAATTAAAGGACAATATGAGAAAACCTTTAATGATCAATAACAAACGTTTCTTGGAACAACAGAGATCATTGAGATCAGGACATTCTTAACTGTTTTTCAATACTTAGCACCTAGAATATCTGATTTGTTTCAAATACATGAAAATGCAAGCTAGTTTTCTACAGATGGGTAATTTACGTACACTACAGGACCTACACACAACCTACTTATCTGTAATGATGGTTTTCCCATTTTCTGGTTTGTAAGCCAACCTGCAGAGATTCATGTCAGCTGTAAAAAGGGCACTGAGTTTTATCTCTGTACGCTGACAATCTAATCTGTATTTTTCATGAGGAAACACACATACACACAAAACCAAAACATTAAAAAAAAAAGTGAAATACTTCAGAGGCTATTCTGGTGTTTTTCTGCTAGCCACAAGATGGTGCAGAGTACCAACAAAGATGCACATATCATTAGGTGCTCAAGTCTGCATTACCCAGGTCGAGCTTTGACTACATGGGCTTTTATCACTCAGCGGCGAAGGATGGGAATCTCTGCTGAGGATCAGACTGCTACACCTTTGTGTAAACTTCTTGTAGGGAGTGGAACGAATAATGAGAAAACAGCAAGCAGTATCAGGTGCTTTGCTCACTGACAGCCAATACTGCAGTTGTTTGAACTGATGGTCGAGGGTGAGGCCATGAGCACTCAAGTGAGAATTGAACAGCATGAGGTCACCAGTACAACACCGGCCAAGGCTGTAGATGATAACCTGGAGCTGGACTTATGGGAAAGCTAATCAGCTTTCAGGACAGAGAGCCTCGAGCCATCTTCCAACACGAGGTGTAAAATATAATAAATCCAATGTATCATCTTCCCCAACCCTTTCTACAATTATGCTGACCACTGATATTCAGAAAAGACAGGTTTGTTATTAATACTTCTCTCACCAGGTTTTGTAGTGAGACTGATGTGACCACAGTTCTTTTCAAATAGCTGCTCTGAGACTGCACCTCTATCTCTATACCACTAGTTTTAAACAGTGAGGACAAAGAACCCAAAGAAACTGGGGCAGGGGCGGGCTGATTTTTTTAAAACCTTTTTGTGTTTAGATGTACTTTTCACGTCTGAGTTTTTAGCCTTGAAGTCTGTATATAATAGGCACGAACAGTTTGTCCTCAGATAATAAAATGGAAACATGAAGAGGATGTCTCCCCTCCACAAGGTCTTGGATATCAAAAGAATTTTAAGCTGAATTTTGCCCCAGTGAGTCTGTGCTGGTGTGAGCCCATGAACTGTACAGGAGCTTGTGCGGCTGCAGAGCTCATACACCAAAGGTGCTGTGTGCTGGATAAAACAAACTCTGCCCTTACGTTAGTGAGGAGAGCAAAACTGGTACCAGTATCACTTCACAGCTCCCTCTGAGAAAGTTTCTGCTAGGGTTGCAGAATGAGACCACCTTGCCTGCTGCTGATGTGCTAAACCAGCAGATACTTTTTCCTCCAAAAACTCATAGTATGTAACCACACTTATAAATTCACAAGGAACCACATGAACAATACATTTCTATTCCAGTTCTGCACCAAAATCAAGACTTTTCTTGAGATTGGTTGTGAAAATGTTAGCATGCATGTAGCCGTATGTGAAAGTTTGGGGCAGCTCCTGAGAAAGTGCAGAAAGAACCAGACATCCTGGAAGATCTCAGACATGTTGTTTGCTCTCTGATACAGAACTGTTATGGTATCAGATGGAATTTTAAGGTAAGCACGAGATGGTGTACAAAAGAACTTTCTAATCTCTTATTCTGGTGACAGGGGAGGGCATGTGACTTCAGGCTGGAAGTCACAATCCCTTGAGAGGCTGTTCTTTCAGTTTATGCCATTAGATCTCCCTGATCAAATTTGATTCTTGAATTATGTCAGGGCTCATCTATTATCTTTATTGCATGATAGATAATAATGTGAGGAAAGAAAAGCTATCCTCAACAGGAAGAAATAATCATGAGAAATATCAGTTAGATGCTGTTTCCTTATAGAAAACATGTTTTTTAATAAATGTTTCCTTTTGTTAAATGTAATATAATTTTCCATTTTCACTCAATATGTTCAGTTTTTCATTTCAGGCATATCTGTCTCTACAGAATGCAATAGCAAGTTCCTGAAGTGATGATTACAGCCCAAACGTATGATTTCATGTTCAGCTGATTGCTTTTGACCAGTTTGAGAACATTAGTATCTTGCTGAAATCCTTGTGGAGTAAGTGAAAGTTTAATGAATGCACAAACAGCAAGTGCATATCTGGAATATAAGCACATTCATTTCTACCTGGTAATGTGTACCAGCCCTGGAACAGTTGAAGAGAGAGGATTAACAGGAAGAGATATCACTGAGGATTAACTATTACATTAAGAATTTGACTCATTCGTCCTTAGAGATGCCAGGTTGAGAAAAATGAAAAATAGTCCATTGAATGATATATTAAACAGTCGCACCTTAAGCCCAGTTTACAAAAAACTAGGTGGTACTTTTAGTAGGCATAAAAATAAAAAGTAGAATGCAATGTTTGAATTGTTGCTCTGTGATGTCACCTATCTGCAGGAGTCACCTTTCTAGAGGACTTTGCTTTGGTGAGGAAGGTGATGACTTTGGTTTTCCAGCTGCGTATTGAAGTACATGGCTTTAAGTTGCACTCAACAACTCACTATGCGATGGCATGAACAAAGCAGCCACATGTCTTACAAAAGCAGTTTCTTGCAAGTGTGAAGTCTAAAGATATCCCCCAGATGGAGACATGCCACAATGCAGTGAGAGCATGGAGGAACAGAGCTTGCAATGTGCAAATGCAGCAGCCCTTCTCTAGGCTCAGGGGAGGTATTGGGAGACGCACAGCAAGTGACTGGAGGAACAGCCATAGCAGGTTTGCAAGACCTATGCATGCAAATTTCCCTGGTTTCCACACCTAGAGAGTGAGAAGCTTCAAGAGGTCTCCTCTATCTATCCTTCCAGGTAAGATGGTCTGGTTGGGTATTACATCCACCCCTGGGGAGGGAACCCAGGTTTCTCCCTATTGAACGCTTCCCATGTGGAACTGATGGTACTGGCACAAAATACAAGAATGAGTACGGTGATGTCGGTGAATGGAGTGACTAACAGGCCTTTCCATTCCTTAGGCAGCATTCGGAGGATGCCACACTTGCACTGCACAGATATGGGGATTTTACCTGGCACAAGGGAGTGGTGAAGGCACAAGTTATCAAGGTATAACAAACAAATTATAGCATTACTGTGTTTTCACGTGTAAAACATGGGGCTCGTATCACCCTGGATAAAGTTATTCCTCTGTGAAAGCAAGTCCTCAGATAGCCTGTACCCTCAGATAACCTAACTATTACACACAGGAATGTACACCAGCTTTTATCAGCTGGATTTGGGAATGAAATGCAGGCAGCCAAGTTTAGAGACTGCTGCTGTGGCAGCTTTCCTCTCCCTCCTCACACAGTCTCTCCAGATCTGCCTTCTACACCCCTGCTTCTGCTGGAGATGCTGGGAAGGCTGCGGGCCACAGGGACACTGGGATCCTTGGAAGTGAGGGAGCCTGAAATAGGACAAGCAGTGGGGAAGGATGAAGTGTCCCACTGTGCGCAAAAGAAGTGCATTACAGGAGCCAACACACAATGAATTTTACATCAGATGCCCCTCCCCTTGTGAGGGATCAATTCATAAGGGATGTCCTCACAGTTTCGCACTGGAGTTGTTACGGTGCAAACATGGTGTGAATTACACTGCTGAACTCTAGGTTGGGCATTGAAATAGGAAAGGATTGGGAGAGGTTTGTAGAAAACCTCTTTTTTTTTTCTGACTCAGAGAGGTGTATAACAGCAGCATTGTTCAGAAACAGGTTTGTTGTGTACAGGCTGTGAGCTAGACACGCAAAAAGCCCCTTTTCTGAACCCAGCAGGAAAGCACTGCAGGACCAGAATGACCTTGCACCTGTATTCCTGGGCAACAGGTCTGCTTATAAAATCTGCATCAGAGATTTCCTTGCAATTAGGTCATTTGATCTTTGATCATTTTTCTGTTCCATAAAGTACAGAAAATATTTACATTCAATGCGAAGGTTCTTTCTTCAATTCCTTGACAGCAGACTGCTTTAATTATGTGTGTGCTGACAGGACTACAGAGAGCTCCCATGTGACCACTGTGGAAGGGAAGAAAGCTTATCATCAGGTGACAGAAGAATGCCCTCATTGTTAGTGCCAATACTTACAAATAAACCTTTCCAGTGTGTCATATACCAGCATAAATATACCACTCCTGCAGCACTGAGCTAGTATGTTAATAAAGTAAGAACTGAGGAAGGGTTATATCTGAACCTCTTCCCCTGGGACACACATACCTTAAGATCTGGGGTGGATTAGGTGTACAAGCTGTGAGCTGTGTGGCCCACGATGCAAAGTATCCCAATTAATAAAATGTTTGCTAACATGCTCAGAGGAGGATCCGTAAAGCTCCTTGGGTCCTAGTCTTCACTCCTTTACCCGGGCTGCTGTTACTAGTTATGCTGTGGTAGCTCCTAAGAGTCCTGAGCCACACAGCACTTCTTGTTGTGCTAAATGCTGTGCAAACACAGTGGCACAAAATGGATTCTGCTCTGAAAAGATGAGCTCATTTCCCAGCCTGACTGCCACTGCAATAAGTTCAAGGAATAACTCCAGCTTTATTGCAGAGAAAGTTAGCAGAATAAGATTCTCCAAGCTCAAATTTGCATGGGAGAAAATAAAAGTATTTGTTAGATCGTGACTTCTCATCACAGGGCACAAGGGAGTATTTTCACTGAACCATCTCCTGCGCTTCAGGAAATAATCTGGACTTTTACTCCTTACTGTACTTTAGTAAACCAGCTGCTCCAAAGATCATTGGATGCATACATTTTGCAGTAAAATAGGATATTTCATTATCTACATTGCAGTCCATAGAAAATTAATCAGTAAGTACAGCACAAAGCAAATAAGGAACTAAAAAAGGCGCAGAGGATCTTTACTTCTAGTGGGAGGTACCAGAAGCTGAGTGCATGAGCAGCCCATGCAGGAAGGAGTGGTGAGCTCTGCAAGCAGGGAGGAGGATGGGATGGAGAAAGTAGCCCTGCTCGAGGAGCAAAGGGGGATGAGTTGCCTCTGACTGGGCTTTTGTATACCAAGGGATAGCACCTTTTCAGGAATTTGTATAATTTCACAGGTTTCTGCATCATTTCTGGAGTTGGTTATTTCTCATAGCTACATTAGACACAGAAAACACATGGCATTCTGGATTCAGACACAAGCTCTGAGGCAGTATACTATGATAGCTGTGTGATTTGAATCACTGTCTATTACAGGTATGTCACTGATGCATTTTAAATTGAAATGTGTGTAAATCATTTACCAGGCCAATTGACCCATTCACAGCAACAGTTATAAAGGAGTTAATATGTAATAATTTGTAAGACAAGGAGTATTACCAAGGCAGGCATTGTCTTGCTGAACACTGCAAATGTGATCTTTGATTCCTTCAGGAAACCCACCATTTTCTACCGTTCATTTTTCACAGCAAGCACAAGTTTGGCATATGGTTATTACCAAAAACCAGCAATCTGTCCAAAACCTAACAGACAGTGAACTAATGCTTTAAATTCCTTTTTGTGGTCTGCCCTTTTTGTTTATTAGTATCTATCCCCATGACACATTGTATGTTAATCTGCCCTGATCTTGCAAATATTTATGTGCCAGTAACTACATCAAGCAAACCCCTTTTACCAAAATACATAGGTACTCACAGACTGGAAGCTTTAGATTAATTCAAAGACTGATCCCAACATTAATATAATACATAAATATTAATATAGCTACTTTTAAAGCTGCTGCTGACGGATTTTCTCTGTAGAAAAGAGAACAACTCTTACCAACTAAACAGCTATAGATAATACATTTGAATACAGAGGTGTTAAATACCACTTCATGCCACTGCTTATGGAGACCAGCTAGTTCTTCATGCCTCTGGAAAATACAAATGTGCAGAATTTTCTAGTGAATGCAGAGCAGAGCAATGCATAGAAATGTCACAGGAGCTCTGTCTTAGCTCTTGTAATACTATTTCTACATCCACCACAAATGCTAGTAAATATATCTTCCTTAACCCCATTCTTTCCTCTTCAGAAAACTGATGCTTCTGTCCAGCTAATGGAAGAAAAAAAATGTATATGGCTCGATCAAGGTATTCCTGGACTCACCTAAGACTGCAACTACAACCTGGGTTCTAAATGCCTGCATGGTTGTATCATCAACCTGACATTTGATAGCAATCACCTTATTTTCCTCTATCTAAAATGGGGCTGCAGGCATTTGGTTATCTCACAGGATGAGCTGAAGTAGAGGCACTAATGCTTGCCAAGCTCCTTGAGAATATAATAGTTACTTTGCATCTTATTTCCTTTTTAAAAAGAGGAAAGTCGGGAGGTGTTGCATGGCCATTCACACCAGATTAGGTATTGAATAGATGTATCCAGTATAGTAATTAACCATGAAAATGCTTTCTTGTATTCTAATGATTCCTTAATTTTAAAGTGAAAAACACTTGCAGAAGTTTTCACCTTTGACAATGCCTTTGTACTTGTGTTTGTAGACTGACAGAGCAAACCACCTGGATTACCCTGGAGATCTGGGTAGTAGGCTCTTTCTCACTCTTTATAGAAAACATTTTGGATTCTGCATAAAATAGCAAAACTTCAGTAAAATCCAAGGGCAGAAACTGAATTCTCAGGAGTTTTTATGCTTGTCTTCTTGTTCTCTTGTTTTTGTTTGGGTTTGGTTTGGTTTAAAGGCTTTTATTTGGGGACCTATGTTTCCAATACACTAAGCAGTACTTTGAACATGTACTTCAGAGCTGCTGGAAATGGCTATAGGGGACAACAGCCTAGTTCTTACTCAGGGAACCCTTTAAAGCACACAAAGGGCTGGAAGGGCCCTTGAGAGATGTCTCACCCATGCTTCACCTTGCACAAATGTACTGCAATGCTGAAGTAGGCACTAGGATGTGTAAGGACACCTTGGTTCTCCTGCTCTGCCAAGGTTGCCTGCCACTAGCAGAGGTGAGGGTCCTGAAGCCCCTTGACTTTTAGCTGTGGAAACCTGCCCCACTCGGAAAAGATTCCTTTCTGCAGAGTTTGTTGCTGTTGCATCTCTTTCTCTTACACCTCCTTGTCTGTGCTAATACCAACCCCAGCTCTGCAGACTATGTGTTAGAAAACATATTAACAGGAGACTATAGGAGGGAGCGGCAACTAAACACTGAATTTTTCCCGAAATTTGTATGGGAAGCAAGTGCAAATTACCATTTGTTTTTTTCTTTTACAAAGCATTTACCATTCACGGGTGATCAGAAAGTCCTGACCTAGTGATACACAACAGACTACTTGTCACCAACAGAGCCTGGGTTTACTTAACAGGAATGGAAAACTCAAAAGCTTTGTGCCAACAAAACCACTTCCCTCACCCTGAAGTGAGCTGCTTTGCATTCAAGTACTACTGAGAAAAACGAAGAAAATAAAGGTGTAGGATCATAGCACATTTTCAGCATTGGCAGGCAGCACGTTAGGTCCGGGATCCGTGATCGTTATCAGATTCAGGCACATCTAGCTCAGGAAAATTTGATCCAGGTCAGGCCTTGGCACACAGCTGCATTTCTTTCTATGGCAACTGTAAATATACTTCATGGGAATTTCTACTGCCTTTGTATTTTCACTCTGAGGACAGGCAACCTCTAATCCAGTATAAAGCCAGCAGGTACCTTGTTAACCCATCATTGTTTTTCTCGAACAAAAAGAAGCAAGCGGAGTGAGCCGATACCGGACCAGTGCTTTGCAATATGTGGCCGCGGCAGTCTCAGCTGGTGGCAGGAGCTGTAAAGCTGGATTTACCGTCTCCTTGGAATGCTGCCATAAACATAACCTCACAGTCTGCCATGACTTCCTAGGCTTCCCCACCTCCTTTGCTTCAGATTTTAAACAGGAGACATTCATGGCATGGATACAGCCATCATGAGACAGAAAGATCTCACACTTTTTGCTGGATACTGCTCTGATAACCTTGACCTCACCTGGACAACCCCATTCACGAGTTACAAACTGTTTTGGTAGGACGTTTGCCAGGAGCTTGCCTGCTCAGCCACAGCAATCCATGCCTGTGCCCTGAAACACCCCCACCAGATCCCTGAAGAACAGGCCTGACTTAACTGAATATTTTTCATCTCATTGATTAGCTATCAAGAGGAGGGAACAGCATAATTGATGAACCACTCTGTTGTTCTCAGCATATGCAGCCCCCATAGAAAACCTATTATTTTCAGGCTTATTACTTTATTTTCTGCTTTTGTTGTCTTTCTGAAGCAATGCTACTTCCTAATTAAGTGCATCAAAACCGCAATACAAGTATTTTTCTATTTTATTTCCCCATAAAGGATTATGGTCGCAAGAGTAACTGCCACTAGGTAGTTATATGACTATTAGTAATACACACAGCATAATAATACTCAAACCCTGCATTTGTGATGGGACCCTGTTGTTAAAAGACCCTGGAAACCCACAGGAATTCATCGGTTCGTGTTCCAGAGCGCTCTCAGAAATAGCCATTCACATTCTTCATGCTTTTCCTCAATTTGTGGCATCACATTTAATTTTTGATTGACAAGCCCAATACTGGCATACTTTACTACACTTTGTAGTCCAGATGCAATCTGGTTATTTGAAAAGAAACCCTCTCCATAATGGTATAATTTGAATCAGATTATCCATCCAAACATGTATTTGGACATACTTAGTTCAGGCTTGTACAAACCATGCAGCAGATAAACACATTATAAATCCTGATATTTTTAACTGAGAAAAAAAATGTCCTTGATGCTTCTAATGACTTGGCATAAAATCCACTTGGTACAACAGCCAACGACAGACAGGACAGAGGCATTCTATTTTCACATAACAGTTTGTGCTGCAAATGCATTCTGGTGATGAACGAGAAAGATCTTGGTTGCATATGCGTTTTGCAGAACTCAGCAAAACCTTGGATTATATTTTGTGTCCTGTCTACACAACACTATTTAGAAAAGTTAGGGGAAACATTTCACACCCTGGAGGTGAGGGGCAAACGTGAGAGGGGCCATTGCTTATTCGGACTGTGAGTGCATGGGGGCAGAGATGACCATTCCCTTCTTTATCTCAAGGCTGCAGCCTGGAGGGCACTGAGATACCACCCCAGCTCAGAGCATCCCTAGCAGCAGAGCACCAAACAGGCTTCCCCAGTACCTTGTAGTTTCTGGCTGTACTCTGTCCTGTCGGACTGACTCCTCCTCAAGGTGCCATGGTCCCCGGCGGTGGCGGTGCTCTCCACCACGGGCTCTGTCCTCCTCCTCTCCCCCATGTACAGCTTATTCCTCAGCAGGGCCAAATTCCTCTTCCTTCCCCCCACGCCTTCCTTCCCCGGACAGTCCATGCTCGCCACAGACAGCCTTGCTTGGTGGTGGTGGTGATGGCAGGGTGGGCAACAGCTTGATTTTCAGGGAGGTGAACTCACCGCCCAGGTGAAGGCTGGTTGCTTTAGGCTTGGTTTTGGAGCAGGGCTCCCCAGGCTCCGCAGGGCCCCAGGCTCAGCCCTGCCACCTGTGCCGGAGCAGCTCCACCCCCGGGAAGGTGACGCCCCAGGCAGCGTTTGCATTCACCTGCCTTGTGTTCAAGCACGCCTGGCGGGGCCGCTTTCAGGGCCAGCCCCAAACCGCAGCCATTCACGGATCCTTTCCTGCTTCAGGGCACCCTCCTCGCCCCGCCGCACGGCCGTGGGTGCCGGCACCCCGAAGAGGGAATTGCATCCTCCTGGCTTTCTAGCAGAGAGATGCCCGAGTGTGACAGGGCACTGCCACACTTTCACCAGACCCCTTCCCTCTGTGCACTGCAGGGGCAGTGGGAAGCAGAGGCAAGGCAAACGGGAAGGGGAGGTCAGCCACCACCTTCACCCTCACTCCTCCTTCCCCTGGGCTAATGCCCAACCGGCAGCCTGGTCAGGACCCCAAACTGAGTTGCATCTGCCAGTCCCTCGATCCCACTGAAAGGTGTAGCTTTTGGGCTGGAAACTCCGGATCTACAGGTTTGAAAAGAGACCAATCCCTCAGGCCAATGAAGAGAAGGGCTGAGAGGGAGACAAAAGCCCCTCTGGAAGGTGGCAAGCAGTGTGGAGCTGACACTTGTCTCAAACCAGGCTCTGTCCTGCTTTACACTACGCACAGAGAGGCCAGAGCCAAGGCAATGCCTGCCAAGGACCTGTGAAGGTTGCTGTAACAAACCACCATGCTCTGATGGCTGAGGAACTGGACACCAAAACACCTGTTTGTCATACCTCTGGATCAGCCCCTGGAAGAGATCTTATTATCCTGTCTGTTAGCAATGGCCTCTGGCACACACGTACTGTCTAGTGATCCTCTGTAGCGCTGGTCTAATCAAGCTCATGTCAAAACAGCAGGAGTTGCTGGCATCTAAGCTTGGACCAGACTTATCCTGGAAAAAGCCCCAACAGCCATCAGTAGCAATCACTGCTGCTGCTGTGATACCCAACCCTGTGGCCCTCGCTGCCACAGGAAACGCCTGGTGGGAGCCCCGTGGTGCAACCTAATCGGTGTCAGTCTCACACACAGTCATTGCCGCAGCATCTGCCAGGGGACAAACTAATGTCCCTCTGACAGATGCTGGCAGAGCTTATGGCTTTAGCACTGCCACACTGTGTCCCTGAAGGGCTATCTAGTAAAAAACAAGTGGCGATGAAACGTAGTAGTGTAACCTCGTTTCCAACTTTTATTTTTCTTTACAAAGCTGGTTCTGTGATGCAACCTCCTGATCAAAGACCTTCATTTCTACTCAGCAGTGAAAGGAAAAGGTTATGAAACTGTTAAGCAATTTACTACGTCAAATTGCAGCACCATGCCAGTGCTGCACAAAGTGTCCAGCCCAAACAGAGTCTGGCAGAAGAATAAAATGTGAGGGAAATACTTGGAAGACTTTGTGCTCACACAGAGAAGTCACATATTACATAGGCAATTCATGTGTTACGTCTTGCCTCCTCTCTGATATTTCCTAAGAAACTCTTTATTCTGCAAGTCAGACCACAAAAGTTCCTTGAAAGGCAGAACAGTGGTGACAGCAGGGAGAGGCGTAGGCAGGGACAGATTGGTGACATACTTCTGACAAGCATCAAAGCCCCAGCAACAAGTAGTACACAGATTAAGATGTGAGTTGAGGAAAATCAACCACCTCATTTCCTCACGCTGGGACTTAGGGAGGAGCTTTTTTTGAAGCAATGGCTTGGCATTCATTGAGGGTGGTAAAACTGGTTTAAACAGTCACCACCCTGATTGCCCCTCTTCCCCAGATGATTTTGTTCCCATTCTTGCTGCAGGGTGTAAACACACGAATTTGAGATGAGATGGAGGAACTGATCTGGCAGAAAACTCCCTCCCTCACCCCTTTTCCTGGGGCTATTTTCCATCTGGATCTGTGTTCCTGATTAGTTCATCACCCAGCTACGAAAGAAGTTGTGGCAGCTTGAGGCAGGGGATGACTCAGGGATCTGAGCAGCTGTGGGTAGGACTAATGGTTGCTTAAACCAGGGTCACCCAGAGAAGGTATCTTCCCCTACCAGGATTTTACAGTGTCATGCATTTCGGAAGAGACAGGTCCCATCATTTACATGAGATTTCATTATATTTATTTAAATTAAGATGGTTTGGGGGAGAACTGAGGAATGTATTTTGGCCAGGTGGAGGTGGAAAAACAAACTTTATTAAAGTCTTGGCTTTGTAGGCTCTGCCACAATATGCAGTGCTACAGCCAAGATAGGATATAGTAAAGTTTGCTCAGGTGTTTATTACGACAGCAACCTACCCACATGCAAAAGTGGTCTTCTTCCTCAACTCAGTCACAGGGTGTGAAAAGGTGTGTGTTCATTCAGCAAGGCAATTATTATGGGGAAAGCCAGCTGTACTTTGCTGCTGCTGTTGTACTTGCAATGGTTTACTTGGCTTCAGAGAGCAGCGTTATTTCAGAGGCTGCCAGGAGCCCAGAGCAGGCTTACAAAACAGTTTAGAAACGTACATAAGTACTTTCTGCAAAATTCAAAATACCTCCTCTGTGCCACTCAGCATGGAAAAGGCTGAAAATAGCATGTCTTCTGTAATATTCCAAATGAAGGGGATACATTCAGGACCAGTGGCTTCCCTATCCCCTCTGAACAGAGGGAGGCTTGAGACATGACTTATCCATCGTCACATTAAATCCCATCATTGTTTTACACTAGAGGATTGTGCCTGTGCAATCAGCAGGAGAAATATGTAAAAACAATCAGATGTGCATTTGAGTAAGGTACCCCTATAAACTCTTATTAGTGTTTACCAAACTTTATTTGGGCTATAACAAAATGCCACAGAAAGCACAGTAAGAACTGCATGTGAAGTACTTGACTTCAGCTGCCATAGCTGCCATGCACAACAGTATGAACAACCGTCTCTCAATTTCGAGTTATTACCACTCTCTTCTGGCCCCAGTGACAACTGATGGGCAAGCAGTATCAAAGTCAGTAATCCATAAGACAAGAAGGAATATTTGACATCTGTGTGGACAAAATGCTCATTTTACAATTAATGTGAAAATCTCTTTAACCACTCTATGTGGTGCTCATTTAATTCTACAAAGTAAACTGGAATCCAGTTGATGCGAGCACTCACATAGGAGTTATTTGCATGGAAGCCACCCTGCTTAGGAGACAGAACAGGTGCTGGTGTCAACACAGAAAATATTGGCATTGTGTTCCCAAGCAACTGTATTAGGCACATATAAGAGCTTATTGTTGCAAGGTCTGTGCTAACCTTTATCTCAGTCCTGAGCTATAAATGAACCAGGAGCGCCATCAAGACTGATGGCCATTAAGTAAGCAAACAATTACTTGTTTTCTTGTAATGCCTCACAGCTGTTACAAAAGATTTCTTTATAACTTAGTATCCCCAAGGATACATGAAAACTGCTGGTGTGGGTTGACTACTGTGCCTGTTCCCTTAGAGGGGAGGCACAGACCACCGCTGGAGTCCTGCGGCAATAGGACAGGACCCGCATTTTCAAGTTTGTTCACTGCAATGGCCAGCACAGCCACCAAGTGAAAAGACAGTCTCAATCTGCAGCTGCAGGGTGAATTCACCAGCCAGTACCAGTATTGCTCAGGTAAAGAGATAACATTTAACAGGCAGTGGAGAAGCAGAAAGGTACCATGGTACTGTTGCAGAAAGCTGTCCTACCCTCCTCACAGATGGAGCTCAACAGCAAAGAACGCAGATGTCTCTACAGCTGCCTGCCTCCATACAGAGAAGCCAAAGTGCCTATAAAAGCAAGCCTGTATCTCTTGTCACTCTGCATGAGTCATAGCAAAGATGTCTTCTGAGGGACAAAACGTTTAGGCTTTGATAAGAACAATCATGGGTAAGGCCCACCGAGGACTCTGAGCACTGGAAAGTTGCTGGTACGTACGCCCTACCTGCTTGCAACCATACTGGTAAGATAAGAGAGTGACAGGTGGGGATAAAAGCAATAAAAAGAGAAGGCTTAAGGACAGGTAAAACTGGAGTCTACACACTGATTTTTCACAATGAATGAATCAAAATTACTTTGAAATATACATAGAAAAAAACCACTTCAAACACCTTTCAATAGTACAAAAAGAGAAAAAAGCCTGTCTTGTAGGTGAAAAGTTATTTAGTGTGGCAGTCTCACCTTCACTCTTACTGTTGATCTTGCCAGACTGGTGATTCCTGTAGAGAAACAGGTCTTTAGAAGTAAGTGCACAGCGATAATTTCTTTTAGCCCTGTCTACAGTATTTCTTGTCTAAATATTTGTAGGAAAAATTCATAAGGTACATGCCTGCCGGGGCTCAGGCTAGGCTGCTGATATTTCTAAGAAGGGATGGCTCAACCTTTCAAGCTATGCAATCCATCTTCTCCAACTGCTGTGATGCTTTTTTACTCCAAACAAAGCCTCTGCTCCAGTTTACACATACAAAAGGCTGACACGTTTTCTGCCTATAGAGGGGGACCCGTCTCTCAAATCAAAACACCTGCCAGAGAGGAGAAGGGATGCTGAGAGAAGGGTCGGCAGGGCTTGCATTGTCCTTGCAGTGCCTGTGGATCTGTCACTATCCAGCTGGGCTTTGTGTAGGTCTGTGAAACAATCTCGGAGCTGGGCCAGCTCCCAAAGGCGGACATCTAAGGGCAGTGCTGCTTTGAAAGGGCTAGGAGGTGAGAAGGAGAAGGAACTTGCTAGGAAACTGAGCAGCCCTTTGATTTCTTCAGAGTTACAGCTGCGTAGTTATTTTCTAAGGAAAATAAACTGACTCTGTTGATCAAGTAGATGGCACTGTGATATCAAAGCTAATAAGGAAAGACAAGCAAGTGAACGAGGCACAG